CGGCCGTCGGGGCGCGGGGCGTCACAGGGCTGGGCTGCAGCCCGGGCCAGGAGAAGAGTGGCCGTGTCGCGTTGCGGAAGGCTCTGTGACTGCTCTTCTCCAAGTGGCCCTTTTTTTTAAGCCCTCGAGACCGTGTCGCGCTGGCACCCAGGCTGGAGTGGGCGGTGGTTCCATCGCAGCTCACTGTGGCCTCCAGCTCCTGGGCTCAAGCGATCCTTCCACCTCAGCCTCTCGGGTACCTGGTAACTACTGAGGGTGCTACGATGCCCGGCTGAGTTTTGATTTTTTTCTTCTTTGTAGAGACGAGGGCTCACTGTGTGGTCCAGGCTGGTCTTGAACTCCTGGCTTCCAGTGATTCTCTTGCCTCAGCCTCCCAAACCGAGATGGTTTGTTTTAAAGGGAAAAAACGCCACTTGTTGTGGAAGCGTGTGTATAGGTGGATGGTAAATGGACGTTGGGCTAAACTCAGGACGGCAGACTTGACAGGTGTGCAGGTCACCCAGCATTGAACCCCGGGCATGTTAGAACACACTGTCTTGAGCCCATTCCTGAAAATAGATGCATGACTTTGCTACCTTTTGTTTTCATTTTCGACTGTGGGATCCATATTTCAGTTTTAGGAAGTATTCAAGTTGGACAGGTCTGAGTGTCCAGCGTTGTTTTTTCCAGTAGGGATCTTTCAAATAAATCCCGCAATGATACACTTTCTACGTTCAATCCAATACAGACATAACCGTGTAATGCATTTAACAAAACGGTATTTACTACCATGTGCATGGTGTGTTAGTATTTCTTGTTACACTTGATACTCTTTTTGAGTCAGTCGTCCAGGCTGGAGTGCAGTGGCACCATCATAGCCCACCGCAGCCTCGGCCTCCTGGGCTCAGGCAGTCCTCCCACCTCAGCCTCCTTGTAGCTGAGACTGGAGGTGCATGCCCTGCCTGGCTGACTTCTTAAAAATTTTTTGCAGAGACTGAATCTCGCTACGTGCCTAGGGTGGTCACAAACTCCTGGGCTCAAGCGAGCCTCCTGCCTTGGTCTCCCAAAGTGCTGGGAGTACAAGTGTGAGCCACTGGGTCAGGCCCCACTTGATTTTTTAAAATGCTGGTCCTGACCTATCAAATTGAATTCATGACCGCTGCAAGTCAGTTTGGGTTTGAATGCCGTCTAAAGGATGGGCAGGGACTTCACCAAGCTGTTCCTCAGGTGCCTCTCGATGCCAAGTTTAGTTGGAACTCTGTGCCTTCTGGCTTCCGCCTGGGCTCTAGGGCTTTTGCTTAATTTGACAGGTTCCTTCTGTCTTTGCTCCTCTGAGATCTCCATGGTTGGTGGAAACTGCTAATTAGTATATGTCAGGGTTCCAAAATCATCTTAAAATTTTGGGGGCCTGGGGTCTTACTCTGTCTCCAAGGCTGGTGTACAGTGGCATGAGCGTGACTCGCTGTAGCCTCCATTTCCTGGGCTCAGGCACTCCTCCTTCAGCCTTCCGAATAGCTGGGACTACAGACGTGCACCACCACGACTGGCTAATTTAAAAAAAAAATTTTGTGGCGACAAGGTTTCACTATGTTGCCCAGGCTGGTCTCGAACTCCTGGACTCAAGCGATCCTCCCACCTCAGCCTCATGAATGCTGGGATTGCAGATGTGAGCTACCACACCCGGCCCAAGATACTTTATCTTAACAAAATCCTTCTTTGCTTCAGTTTACTGGTCATGGGTGGATGGTAGATAGAACAAATGAGGGGTGGCCCTCCCTCAGGTAGCCTGCTGCAGGGCACCTGACCTTGTGGACCCGCTGACCCAGTAAGGAGACCCTTCAGCTGGGCCCTTGTTCTGGTAGGGCCGAGATCCCTTCGCTTCTCGCGCCCTTGGGTGCGCCCCGCCCTTCCATTTGGAGAGTGAGGCAGAGGAGATGAGCCACTGCAGTGTTTCTTTGACCCCTCTGCGGCAGGGTGGTGAGTGAGCATGGCAGGGACTGACATGGGGGCTGGCTTTCCTTTGGCCCCCTGAGGAGCAGAGCCATAGTGCCCGTGCAGTGGTGTGTGTGTGACCCCGGTGTCCATGAGGCGGCTCCTCTCTGACGGGGGCGTGGCTGCCGGCTGCCCGTACTGCTCCCGAGGAGGGAAGCCCTTTGCTGTCCTAGAGCCTTGGGGTCACCGGCGCATGATCAGTGGCACTCTCAGTCCACTCCGTCCTGTGAGGAATGAGGAGGCTTGTGCTCGCTCTGTTGTTTGGACTCTGGAAGTCTGTGGCAAATGGATTTATTTTCCATGGAAAAGGAACTTGTGAGTGCATCCTAGGGTGGTCCAGTCAGCTCGACAGGGAGACTGGAAGACCCGCTGGAGTCCTCGCCCGTCCACGCGGGGCCTGTGGGGCAGGAGGGGGGCTTTTGCTCCTGCTCTGTTGTCCTCGCTGGAGGATGGGGACTGGCAACGCGCTAGCGTGTGTCTCTGCCTTGTCTGGTAGCCTGTTTGTTGATAACTGCGGAAAGGAAGGCGTGTCCGCTGCGGTCTGGGCACGAAGTAGACAGGCCCGAGAGAGAACCTGTGGCTCCTCCCTTCCCAGGTCAGCGAGCTGAAAGAGAAAGGCAACAAGGCCCTGAGCGCCGGCAACATTGATGATGCCCTGCGGTGCTACTCGGAGGCCATCAAGCTGGACCCCCAGAACCACGTGCTCTACAGCAACCGCTCTGCCGCCTACGCCAAGAAGGGGGACTACCAGAAGGCCTACGAGGACGGCTGCAAGACCGTTGACTTGAAGCCTGACTGGGGCAAGGTGAGGGGGCGGGCAGGAGGCTCCTCCAGAAAGGCCTTGGGCGAGAGGGCGCGTGGGCCTCCCGCCCTGCCTCATCGCCTGTCCCGACAGTCTGGCGGTCCGCTGCCCCCTCCCCCGCCGCTGTGCTGTGCCCGCGCCTCAGAAAGGGGTGTGTTTCATCCTGTCTGAGATACCGTGGATTGTAATGAGGCTTTGTTTTTGGTGCCACTAAGGAAGAAAACGCTGCCAAAGACACTGACAACACTTGATCCAGATGAGTGGGGGGCCGGTGTGCATCTTTGCCATCTGGCTGGATTCTTACAGTGTCAACCTTGGCATCGGGTCCTCCTCTCCCTTTTTTCTCGTTGGCCTCCATGTGAATATCCATTTTGTTCCATAAAATGTAGAATAGCTTCTTTTGAGTTCCTCTTCAGGATTTACCTCCCGGTGTCCCTTATTTTATTTTGTGTCTCTCTTTGCTGGCTTAAGGGCTACTCGCGGAAAGCAGCAGCTCTTGAGTTCTTAAACCGATTTGAAGAAGCCAAGCGAACCTATGAGGAAGGTTTGAAACACGAAGCAAATAATCCTCAGCTCAAAGAGGGTCTGCAGAATATGGAGGCCAGGCTGGCAGGTAGGAGCGTGTGTGTGTTCTGCTTGCTTGTTTACGGTTCTGTTCCTAATGGGGTTAATTTTGAGCTGTCCCCCCGAACGCTTGTAGGTCGGGTACAGGGGGCTCGGTGTTTCGGGGGCACAGTTTCACAGTGATTCGCTTTCCTTAACTTGGACAGAGAGGAAGTTCATGAACCCTTTCAACATGCCCAATCTGCACCAGAAGTTAGAGAGCGATCCTAGGACCAGGACGCTTCTCAGTGACCCCACCTACCGGGAGCTGATAGAGCAGCTGCGGAACAAGCCGGCAGACCTGGCCACGTAAGTGGGGTGACTGCTGGGTCTCCCGGGACCGTGGGATCGTCCTGCCTTCCTGGAACCCTGTGGCGCAGCGGCCTCTTCTGGACTGCAGGGTTTTAGCCTTTGTGCTTCTCCACAGAGCAGTAGTGGGGGTTGGTTTATTTTCTGTTGTTTATTTAATGTTTTCTTTTTTTTTTGAGTTGGAGTTTCACTCCGTCGCTCAGACTGGAGCCCAGCCTCAACCTGCTGGGCTCCGGCGATCCTTCCGCCTCAGCCTTCCAAGTAGCCGGAATTACAGGCGTGTGCTACCATGCCCGGCTGATTTTTGATTTATTGTAGAGATGAGGTCTCTGGAATGTTTCTTCTTGCCTGCACACGTCTCTTTCCTGGTCTTCTGTAATTCTGTTTCAGCGTGTTGTAGTGGAATCAGGATTGGAAGGGACATCAGGTGTAAAAATGTGTCTGCACATTTGGGACTTGGGTCTGTCTCTGTCTGGAGCCTCTGGCTTCTGAGAGCAGATAAGGAAGTGGACCTAGGACAACCTGTTCCTCTGCCTGTCTGCTGGCCCTTTGGAGGAGAGCTGACCTGTGGCTTCATTTTACTTATATGCTTATTTTTTATTTTTTTGAGTAGGAGTCTCACTCTGTCACCCAGACTGGAGTGCAGTGGCCACTCCTGGCCACCGAAGCCTCGACCTGCTGGGCTCTGGCGATCCCTCCGCCTCAGCCTTCCAAATAGCTGGAACTACAGGCGTGTGCTGCCATGCCCGGCTGATTTTAATTGATTTATTGTAGAGATGAGGTCTTGCCAAGTTGCCCAGGCGGGTCTCGAACCCGCGGGCTCAGGCAATCCACTCACCTTGGCCTCCCCAAGTGCTGGGATTACAGGCTGAGCCACCCAGCCTGGCCTGATTTTTTTCATTTATTGTAGAGATGAGGTCTCGCCAAATTGCCCAGGCGGGTCTCGAACCCGCAGGCTCGGGCAATCCACTCACCTCAACCTCCCAAAGCGTGGGATTACAGGCTGAGCCACCGAGCCCGGCTTGTGGCTTCATTTTAGATGGTGTTTTGAAGGTCGGAGGGTGTTCCCCAACTGTACAGACAATATGGGATCTAGCCATCTGCACGCAGGAACCTGACTTTTTGCAGTAAATGGGAGTGTACGGCTGGTCATGGAGAGGAATGATTGCACTTTTTGTTTTTTTTTTGAGTTGGAGTCTCTGTCGCTCAGACTGGAGTGCAGTGGCCGCTCCTGGCCACCGCAGCCTCGACCTGCTGGGCTCCTGTGATCCTTCCGCTCAGCCTTCCAGTAGCTAGAACTACAGGCGCGCTCTACCATGTCCGGCTAGTGTTTGATTTATTGTAGAGATGAGGTCTTGCCAAGTTGCCCAGTTGGGTCTCAAACCCACAGGCTCAGGCAGTCCACTCACCTCAGCCTCCCAAAGCACGGGATTACAGGCTGAACCACCGAGCCCGGCTACTTTTTGTTTTTTTAATTGATACTAGGAAACTACAAGATCCCCGGATCATGACCACTCTCAGTGTTCTCCTTGGAGTGGATCTGGGCAGCATGGAGGAAGAGGAAGAGGTGGCAACGCCCCCACCACCACCACCTCCCAAAAAGGAGCCCAGACCAGAGCCGATGGAAGAAGATCTCCCAGAGAACAAGAAACAGGTCTCGTTTCCTTTTCACTGCCTTGCCTTTATAGGTGGTCAAGTCCCTTAGAGGTCTGCTTGTTGAGCAGGAACATCCACAGGCTTTGCATGACCACCATTGTCTTTGAGTGCTTAGTACGTGCTAAGCTTGTTGTTGTTCGTTAGACTTACCAGTCTGTTGTGAGATGAGCTTCCTGAGAGATTTCCCAGGAGACTGAGCAGTGGGTGTCTCCCTTCCATAGTTCTGCAGCTGCTGCGCTGCCACCAGCACACATATCGGCCAGGGCGAGATGATCCAGGTGGGAGTGACGGAGAATGTTGTCTCCACCCATCCTCAGGCTGCTCCTCCTGGCTGGCTGCGGGGTGGAGTGAAAGTTGTCCGCTTAGTGGCACTGGAGGCCTGTGCCTACACGCTTTTGTTTCCCTTGTCAACGGGAACAACAGATTGTTGCCAAATTTAGCACCTTTGAATGTGTGCGTGTTGGGTGTTCAGGGCCTCTCGAAGCTGCAGTGGGTGGTAGTGATGCTGCTGGAGATTCCCGCCACCATCATGGCCTCTCTCCCTATCCCACCCTCCACACCCCCCACCATAAGGGCCCTTGATGAGACCCTGAGATAGCTGCACGACAGCCCGCCAGGCTTGCTACAGCCTCTCAGAACAAAGCCCCATCCAGAGCGCCGCTGCCTTCACCACTGCTTCCAGCCCCAGGGGTCTCCTCTCCCCTGAAGGAGCCTACACTTTCTGCAAAGACCAGGGGAGTGGGCAGTAGGGGGGCTTCAGAGGAAGCGGGCATGAAACGCGTTTTCCTTCTGATGGCGACTCTTGGCCGTTGTAAGTCTGCAGCTGGTGACAAGGAGGCTTTGGATGTGGAGGACTCACTCCATGCACACAGGAGCCGCGTTCTGCGGGGCCCAGTGCTTCCTGCCTGTCGCGCGGTCACTCACATCCCCCTCCCCCGCCAGGCGCTGCGGGAGAAGGAGCTGGGGAACGACGCCTACAAGAAGAAGAACTTCGAGGCGGCCCTGAAGCACTATGACCTGGCCAGGGGCCTGGACCCCACCAACATGACGTACATCACCAACCAAGCCGGTGAGGCCCGGGCAGGGGTCGGCAGGCCTCCGGGGGGGTAGCGGGGACTGAAGCTCCTTCTTTCCGCCCTGCCTGGCAGCCGTCTACTTCGAGAAGGGCGACTACAACAAGTGCCGGGAGCTCTGTGAGAAGGCCATCGAGGTGGGGCGAGAGAACCGGGAAGACTACCGCCAGATTGCCAAGTATGCGCAGCTTTCCAGGACAAGCGGGGAGGGTGTGCTGGTCAGACAGTGTCCCTGCGTGGACAGGAGGGTGGCTGGCCACAACCTGCTGTGTGGAGAAGGGGCTGGAAAGGAGGTTGCAGAAGCTGGGCGGGAGGTGGTGAACGCGTGAGTGCGCGGGCGGCAGTGCGGGCCTGCTTCTTGTTGCAGGTGTGCGCGCTCTGCAGGGGCTGACCTTGTTTCTGGTTCTGTCCTCCACAAACTCGTTTCTCTTGTCTTAATCAGAGCTTACGCTCGAATTGGCAACTCCTACTTCAAGGAAGAAAAGTACAAGGATGCCATCCATTTCTTTAACAAGTCTCTGGCGGAGCACCGAACCCCAGATGTGCTCAAGAAATGCCAGCAGGTGGGTAGGAAGAGAATGGGGGGGTCGTTCGGGTATTTTTTTTTTTTGAGATGGAGTCGTTCTTTGTCACCCAGGCTGGAGTGCACTGGCATGATCATAACTCACTGCAGTCTCAAAGTTCTGGGCTCAAATAGTTCTCCCAACTCGGTCACCCAAATATCTGAGATAACAGGCAAACATTGCCACACCGAGCATTAGCATTTTTATTTTTTGTACAGATGGGATCTCATTATGTTCTCAGGCTGATCTCAAACTCGTGTCAAGCAATCCTTTCTCCTTGGCCTCCCAGAGTGCTGAGATTACAGGCATGAGCCATTGTGCCCAGCCCTTTTTGTTGTTTTTTAGTAATTGAGTGTTACTTTTTGTTGTTTAATTATTCTGTGATTAATCTGATGGTGCTTTTTGGATAGTGGTTTTGGTCATCTTACATGATTTTGCCCATGTCGTTTAATGATGACAACATGTAGTAAATGATCTGACTTTTCTGCAGTACTTTTTTGGCGGGGGGTGCCAAGATTTCAATTTTAAATGTGTTAATATTGAAGACTGGTGAATTAACCCTTTGTACCCAAACATCTCGCAAATCACCTACCAGCAACAAGACCAACTTTTTTCTTTTTTGAGTTGAAGTCTCACTCTGTCACCCAGGCTGCAGTGGCACCCTCACAACCACCACAGCCTTGACCTGCTGGGCTCAGGTGAGCCTTCTGCCTCAGTCTTCCATACAGCTGGAAGTACAGGCGTGAGCCAACATGCCTGACTAATTTTTTTGATTTATTGTAGAGATGATGTCTCTCCAAGTTGCCTGGGCTGATCTCGAACCCCTGGGCTCAGGCAGGCCTCTCAACTCCCAAAGTGCTGGGATTATAGGCATGAGCTACTGCGCCCAGCCTTCGACTGCCCTTTTTTATGAAATAGTGAAAAACGAATCACTTCAGATTAAATAGTATGGCGGTGGAACCAGTTAAATGATACGTGGCTTATAATGAAATGTTGGACATTGAGGAATGTATTTATGACAAAAAAATCAAAATGTTACACCTTATATTATTCTAACGTGGTAAACTAAAACAGTCACCAGCATGCATTGCAGGTTCATTGATACACATTGGGCTATAGTAATTTGCTTGACGTCTTCCGCCTGGTGTTTTTCTAGTCAAGCAGACGTTGCAGACTCGTTTTCTTCCTCCCACATTAGTCATATGTAATGGGTTGTCCCGTCTGTACACCACTGTGAATGGCACCTCACACATTTTCTTGCTATGTAATGCAGCTGATTTTTTTACTTATATCTCAGCATATTTTCCATCTATTTATTTGCTTTTTGTGTGTAGTTTGAATGGAAAACTTCAAAGAAACGTACATTTTTGGAAAAATTTATGCTGGAATAAGTGTGTCCAGTATAATCATCAACAATCTCTTTATGTCCCCTGAAGAGACATCTGAGTGGTTTGCTAGATTTATGATGTCCCCTCAGAAGGAGACATCTGAGTGCAAAGGATTAATATTGTTACAGTTCTTATTGTAATATAATGTGTTCTTTATTCTGTATAACCGAATTGGTGTGTATTGGGTAATTTTTCATAAGTTATGTAAAGGGATGATTTTTTTTTTACAAAAAGATTAGTGAGAAAATACTGGTGTTCATGGCATGCGTCATTTTCTTTCTTTTTTTTTTTTTAATTTTTTTTTTTG